GGTCTGAAAAATGCATAGTCGTTCCCTGGTGACAACATGTAAACGTAAATTTTTAAGGAAAAAAGCCCAAGACTCAGTGTCTTCTCCTTGAACGAGGGAAAACGCAACAGGAAGAATATTGCGGTTTCCATCTTGGACCACAGCCAATAATAAAACTTGCTTGTATTTCCCATACAAGAAAGTACCATCAATTTGGACAATTGGTTTACAGTACTTGATTGCATTAATACACTGAGGGTAAGTCCAAAAGACTCGGTAAAATTGGCAGCGATCGCGAACCATTCGATCATTCACGTAATGATGTTGAGTTTCGAACTCAACAATTGTCCCGGGATTAAGTCTTTGCACAACATGAAACCAACTGGGCAGCTCGTTGTAAGAGGAATCCCATTCGCCATGAAGTTTGCAAATGGCATTCTGTTTTGCCAACCACGCTTTTTTATATGAGACAGTGTACCCATATTGTGACTGTATAGCAGAAATCAACACTGCAACAGCTATATGAGAGCTTTGCTTCACAATGGGCATGATTGCTTGACAAATAATGTTGGAGTCCAAGTTGGGATGATCCTGGTTTATACCTGTTGCACAGCATGTATGAGGACCGTTGTATCTGGTTAGTTCCCATAAGTTGTTCTTCCTCTTCCTCTTTGATACACGGACCATCCATTGACATCCGTTGTGACGTTGGACGCAGTAGCAGACATATTTCTCCGTGTTAGATCGATCAACTCGGGACTGAACTGAGTTACGAATATTGTAACTCTTTATTGCCATCATTGCTTCCTCCTTCGATGCGAACTCCATTCCAATATGTAAATTACCGTCATTGACTGATGATTGAAGTCCATAGTTGCCAACATCAGGAAGATCTGGAAATTCAGGCTCATACATTGCATCATAATCAGCCTCATACATATGTGTAGGATGTTCGACTGGTGTTGTATTTATCGGAACGTCATCCTCGTCATCATCAGAATGTACGTTAAACTGTGGTGAGTCAGGTTCAACGAATAATCCCGTTTCAGCACCATCTGCACCTGGCTCCCGAAGAGGTTCTTCTGGTGGAGATAAGGGTTCCTCCGATAATCCAATGTTGAGGTCAAATAAGTTCCCGCTTGCGTGTCCTCCCCTTGAACTTGAGGCCATTGTATCATGTGGGATGTGAATAGACTGTCGTCTCGTTGGCATTTCCATATGTAAGTCGAAAACATTGGCAGATGAATGTCTGCCCCTTGAAGTAGAAGAGATGTTGCCATATGGATTATTGGTGAAGCCACGTGGGTTGAGATCATAAGCAGTTGCAGATGAATGCCTTCCTATTGAACTTGATGGCATGGTATATGGCGTTGGATCCGCCATTAATGATGTGAAATCATTACAGATCAGTTGTGTCGGGCTATCAACTTGATCAGTTTGATATGCAATGCCAAAGTGAGAGGAATATGAGAGACCACGAGTTGCACGAACCTCAATAAAAGTGGCATACATTTCAATAAGAGATTGTGAACTCCCCATATGAGCATCAACCATCATAGAAACATCATCATCGTTTGAAAGCTGAAATGATGTATACGTGAGCGGAAAAAGTTCAGTAGGAAATCTGTACTGAAGTGAAGATAGTCTTCTCTGGCCTGCTACACGAATCTTTAACGAAATTTTTGTGATTAACTCCTCAATTGTGATGTTTCTCTTCAAGGTTAAGGGGATATAATGATCTGACTCAAAAATAACCCCCTCTTCAGCTTCCTTAATTTCTCTATCATACAAAACAACAGCAGAAAGATGACTCATTTTCAGAGAATTTGAGAATTTAGAGTTTGGGAATTTGAGAATTTGAAAGATTGTGAACTGAAGTTTGTTTTGAAAGTTTATAATACGTTGCATATAATAGTGTCTATAATCGGTTCACTATTCACATGAAGGCGCGTTCCCGGGGGCGCGCCTTTCATTATTTCGTCAGAGAATATGTTATCATTGCCCTATTATGTCATTCATGTCCCTCGGGGACACCAGTTTTAGCGTAATATTGTCGAGGGGCCAACAGTGTATATCGGTTCTCCCAAAGCGCAATCCAATCTCTGTGTCTCACCACCCAGTTAACATCTTTCTTTCCCCGTCTATCTATGTTATGCACGTCGTCTAAATTTCTAGGAGCTCCAGGAATATATTGCGTACAACCATACTGAAGGAGCACGCGATCAACTGGATGCCACTCAATAATAGCATAACATATAAGAGGTATAACCGATATCCATACCTCTAATGACCCACTAAGGTGGGGTGGGATGCAAGCTTTCACTTCATCGCTCGCATAAGGTATCCACTGAAACTGAAATATAAATATACAATTCAAATAAATAAAATATTCTAATTATATCTAACATTTTAAATTAAAATATTAATAATTAAACAAATTTAAAAACATACCTCAGACCCAGCTTTCGTATCAATAAGTAAACGAATTTCCTCTAACCCAGTAGGTATACTTTTATGGTCCTTTCTTTTCATCGACCACCTATGAAATATAATATAAACTAAATATCACCCAATTTAATTGAAAATATTTAAATCAAAATTTAGTTCGAAAATTACCTCAACAATAAGGGGAATACGTATGGTTCATTCACGATCGGGCATAAGAAAGGCATGCGGAACCACGCCCATGATTGTAGAAGCAGAAGACATCCACCGATAGCAGTTTTCTTATAATTCGTCGCCCGACACATTTCTCTAAAGAGAAATGCCAAAACTGCAGCACCCCAACTATATCTTCCAGCTTCATCAAAATCGATCAGATGCCGCAACCACATACAATGCACCTGGTTGCGAGATTTGTCGGGCATCAATATTCCTCCAATTATTCGTAGAATATATGCCCGAGCACATGCCTTTGCTTGATCCTCTGAAGCACTTTCATTTAAAACCTCAAAATTAGCTTTCAACCAAGATAAAGCTATTCTACCTCCATTAAACTCTGGCGGAGCAGCTCCAAGATAATCAATGCACATTGATTGCCAATCACCATCCGCCATACCACACATCATATTTCCGTCGACGGGAAGCCCCAGATGCATAGAGACATCCTCCAATGTAATTGTTGCCTCTCCACATGGAAGGTGAAAAGTGTGTGTCTCGGGCCTCCACCTCTCAATCAGTGCAGAAATTAGGACAAGTTCGAGTTTACAACCGCCTATAATTGTTGCAATATACCCGAACCCAGCAGAAGCCAAATATGGCAAAATACGTTCCGGTGTCGGTATACGTGAATTTTTAATAAAAGTTTCTAAAATACGATCAGCATCCTAAATAATATATATTATAAAAATAAAAATTAATATAATTCATAATAACTTTAAAATAAAAATAAATTTAAATATTAACATTAATTATAAAAAATATTACCATATCGCTAAAATGTCTGGAGATATGATCAATATCCAATCGCAACAACATTTCGTTTTCCATTATAACTGTAGACAAAACAATATAATTAGCAAAAAAAATTAATAATTCTAAATAAATAATAATATATAATATTATTTTAATAAAAAATAATATTTACATAAATATTAATATAAAAAAATAATTATTTAAAAAAATACTAACATAAAATAAATTTCTTACCACTAATAACAAATTTAAAACTCAAATAGTTGGAGAATTTGAGTTATATAAGAGAGGAGAAGATGATTTTGGTGTGAAGAATGAGGGAGGGTTGAGGGGTTTATATAGGGAGGAGGAGGGGTAGTTAGGAAAAACGGATGGGGGCATTTATGACATTTAATGGAAGGCGCGTCCCCGGGGATGCGCTTTCCACACGTGTCTGCTGATATGGCAAAGGCGCGTCCCCGGGGACGCGCCTTTCACACGTGGCATCCAACTCAGCGAAAACACGGTTAAAGCGCGTCCCCGGGGACGCGCCTTTGCCAACTCAACAGAAAGGGTGCTAGTTTTGGAAATATTGGTCAAACGGTGTTAGAAAGATAAAATTAAAAACAAACGGTGTCAGTTATGTAATTTAGCCGAAGAAGACGCCAAAGGGAGAGAGACACGATAGATTAATACTGAGGTTCCCTCATATTGTCCAATTTTCTATATCAAACCAATCGGTTTATATATATGGGTCGGGTCGGATATTTATTATATGACATATTCTTATTTTAGTCTCTTTGTGACTTTCTAATGTAAACTTTTAAGATTTAATCTCTATATTTATAATAGAATTAGTTAATCCAAATATTAAATAAAGTTAATTATTTTGATTAAAATGCTGATGCGGGTTTCCTTGAAAAAAAAACACTCATTTTTTGCAAATACTCTATGCCAACATGTCAAGGTCGATATTTTAAAAAAAAATTCCCATTAGCATCTTTATGAAGATAATTAACTGCGTTAATTATTAAGAAAATTAATTGTGTCAATTAAATATATTATTATTTTGTAATCTTTTGATCATTAAATTGTTCACACTCGTTACTTTAATGATATAAATATATTTAAAAAAGTTTATTTTTAATAGTTTATTTTTTCCACCTCTTCAATAAGCAATTCATTTTTCAGCCCTAAAAATAAAACCTAAAAGCTATTTAAAAAGAAACTCTAAAATGAAAAGGTCTTCAACACCACCAAGCAACTAACACATTTCACTTCGCACGGATGTAAAACCATTATATCATCAAAGAACTGATTAAATCATGATCAAAATATAGCTTTTATCAATTACACAACTAAAACAAGATAGACCAAAAATAAAAATGACCTCCAATGTAATTTACCCTTTTTAAAGATTAAGATTGACCGGAACTCTTCTTAATAAAGGAACAAGATTGACTACAGCATGAAAAGGATTCAAGTTAAAACATAATTGTCTGGGCCAAGGCATGCTCCACAACGATAACAACATGGCATCAACATGTTTAAGAAAATAAAACAATAACATAAAGAAATTGCAAGAAGAAAACAGATACTTTTTAAAATAATTGAACATTCCACCAATATAACTCAAAACACCTACAATTTGTAAAAAAAGAAAAAAGACCACCATAAACTAACAAATAAAAAAAACTTGAAATATCTCAAGGTTTAACTCTGCTCTTCTCCATCTACACCACCTCTTTCTTCAGCAGCCGCAGCCATTAATTCATCGAAGTTTTCGGTCTTTCCCAGCAATATCTCAATCTGAGGAACAACAAAATACATATATAAATATGTAATCTATCCGTACTCAATAACAGGGAACAACAAGTAATGCAAAAATTTGATACTGGTTTCCTTAAATTATCTTATGAGGAGAAAGCAAATGTTTCTCAGCTTGCAGATATGTTTTTGCATTAGATCAAGGCAGATGCACGCAAAAGGAAGCAAGAAGACCAATTGATATTGAGTTGATTTTACCTTTGCCTTTTGAATAGGATGCCCTCTAGGGTCGTCCTTTATGTCAACGGTTGCAGTCGTGATCTCTGCAGATGTGTAGGTTGATTCCCAGCATTATCAGGTGTCTTTTTCTTCTTCTAAATATATATGGATAAAAATAATAAAAGTGGAAGACTGCTTACTCTTATCAACAGCCAAACCATTGTTTTTTAGTATTTCTGCAATCGTGACGACCGTCGCAATAGCTGCATATATGATATGATTAATAAAACAGAAGGATTTACCGCAATTCTAAAAAAATGTAGCATAAACAATCATCAAATAGTAATACACTACCAAGGAAAATCAAGTTACAACAACTTTTCACTCGAGAAAAGGAATCTCCAAGGGCTATGATCCGAATGAACATTTGCAACATCCCCAAATTATTACTTACTTTGTTCCATAAATCAAAGCTTTGCCACATCTTAATCTACAATCTCCTCGCATAAACAAATATAACACAAAAAACCTATCATTAAATCCCTAGTCAAAGCATGGGTATCGGAGATATCCGGCACCATTGCCTTCAGGGCAATAGTTATAAAAAAAAGTACTAAAAACTGAACCACAAAGCTTCAATGCTGTATAGTGAAATAATCTATAGGTCAACAGCTTCAATAAGGGGATATTAAATCTCTCCGGTAAAAACTGATGCATTTCAAGGAAATTAAACAACACTTATATATGAGAATCAATCATTAATATTCAGATCAGAAAAAGTGAGGTGAAAATGAAATCAAAGCATTAAAAATGGAGGATTGAAGACGTCAATCGAACCCATGCCAAGGGCAGACAACTCCACCTCAATGTACTGTTGCATATATCTCTGCAGATAAAATGAGAGAAAAAGGTTATGTTATCATTGTAATAAATTAACAAAGAATTAATCTTCTTAGTTTAAGCTAAAAATTAATCCCTTAGATCCCAAATAGTTAAAGAAAAATGCTCAACAGGAATTTTATAATAAAAAAAACCCTAAAACCCACCAAAAATTTATTGAGAATTTTCAAATTCAACACTTAATTCTCACAGAGCCAGGAGGAAGCGAAAAAAGAGGACTTGGTGAAGCAAAGAGGGAAGTAAGGGAAACGTTAGCGAGATTGACGTAGAAAAACAAGGGCTTTTTGGTATTGGAGACTTGAATCCGGTTCTTCTTGTGGGAATCGTTAGCCAAGTTGATGTTGTTGACTCCTTGAGTGATTTCTTCCATTTTTGATACCTCTGCTGCTGAAAACCTACACCCCAAAAACCCTAACCTGAAAGACAGCAGATTTCTCCTGAGCTCTGTTTTAATTGGGTTGAAATTCTGTTGTGATGGGCCTAGTGACTACTGACTGCCTAGGGTTTCTCAATTGAGCTGACCTTAACCAAAATATACTGGCAAAACTGTCCAAATAATGATTTAGTGATTGTTTAATTCTAAAAAAAATTCAGTTTATTTATTATTTCCCGAAATGGGGTGAAATGTACAGTGCTTCAAGTGATTCTTTGGATATCTCGGCGTTTTTAGGGTTAATTTTTCCATGATTGATTTCTCGGCGTTTTTGGGGTTATGACACTATGGGAATGCTCGGCGTCTTCAAGCAATTGGACTGTGGGATCTCTCGGCGTCTTCTGCATGCTACAAGGAATGCCAAGGTGGATCTCTCGGCGTCTTCACCTGTCGTCTGGCGGGAATCTCTGCATGACTCTCTGAATCGTGCATACATTCTGGGGGCCTGGACGTCTTCATCTCTGCATGACTCTCTGCATGCATGCAGAGTTGATTTAACAGTTGAATACAATAATAATAGGAGTGCTCGGCGTCTTTAGTTAATAGGGTTACAGGGGCGTTCGATTTCCCGGCGTCTTAAGCTATACATGGAGAATATTTGGTTGCAGGTAGTCGTGAAATCTCGGCGTCTTCTTCTTCCTCCGAGATTCGTACTGCATGCGTCTGTATTCTTTGTGGCCGAAGCGTGAGATTCGTCTGAAGCGTGAGATTCGTCTGAAGCGTGAGATTTGTTGTATGCTTTGAGACTAATAATTTACTCGAAGTCTTCAATTGCAGGATGATATTATAAAAAAAAAAGGTCAATAATTGGTGCACCGACTTGTTATAAAATAGGGGTGGGTATTGTATTTCATTGCATGCAGTTGGTTTTAACTTACAGAAGCAAGTGAGGGAATTTTTTTTTGCATTAGATTCAATTGGAGATGCTGCTTGAAGTGATATTGGAGATTTTTGTTGGTTCGGTAATTTTTTGAGCTTTGGTTTAACGTCGTTCAAAAACACGTAAGTTCTTTCTCGTTTCCCATGCGAACTCTATTTTTTTCGTGTTGAAAGAATGCTCATATATGTTAGGAGAATGATACATTTAAATTTTGTTCATGAGACCATAGTAATGTAATTTAGAGTACTAATGTTAATTTAAAATTAGAAAATGTAAGTTTGATGATTAGGTATACAGAAAATTTAAGTTTGAGTATTATTGTTAATTTAAATTTTCGTGTAATTTTTAGTTGTATTTTTATATAATAATTATTAGAATTTTTATTTTGATTTAGTGGGAAAAAAATTCCCATTATGTAATCCTGACATTTTTACCGTAATAATAATGTATTTAAGTATTATTTTTATAAAACAATTGTTAACATAATTTATATTTATTATTTATAGTTTTGTAAATAATTAATTTTCATTACATTATTAATGTAATTTATTCTGAATATCTATATTTTTTACATGTAGAGAAAATGAGCAACAAATTTTTCACGATTGTCCATTACAATGGACATATGATGGAAAATGAGGTCGGAGTTATTTTTCAGTCTGAAACACCTATAAATATGATGTTTAAAAGGGACATCACATTTGCAGAGATCAAGGAGAGGATATAAAGAAAAATACGTGCTAAAGTTGATGGTTTGAGGTACAGATTTATGGTATGTCCCAATCCGGTCAGGTATGCTGCAGTACCACTTGAAGAAGACGATGATATTATAACTATGGTTGAATTACATGACTCAACAAATATTCCAATTATTGAGTTATTTGTTGAGTTGTGTAATATATCTAATGTGCCTGGGTCATCAATAAATGCGGTTGAAACTTCATCTCAAATGGGTTTCGAGAGTCATTTCGATAACCCAACATATAGGTCGATGAACAGCTTTGTGGCGATGTTGGAAAGCGCAAATGAAGTTGGTGGAACATCTGGAGCCGCAGAGTATGATGCTGAAAACCGCTGGGAAGAAATACTTGAAGATTCCAGTGAAGATGAAGAAACTGAGGAACCTCTTTTGGCTGAGGATGATGCCATGTTCCATGGTGATGAAGCTGATATCAATATTGATGAATATTCAACATCGTATCAACCTACCCCTCACATGCAGGAGATTGATTATGAAGCAATGAGGGCACCTGAATTCCCGGAGATGCCACATTTAACTTCAGGCTATATGATTGAATCGTCCGATAACTCTGGTGAATTAGCAGTTGGGAAGCAATACAAAGGAAAAAAAGAAGCTACACTAGCGATTAAAGAGTATTGCATAAGAGGCCATGTAGATTGCAAGACTGCAGAGTCCAACCAGAAAACTTTGTACGCAAAATGTGTTAAATATGGGCCCGAGTGTAAATGGTTGATTAGAGTGTCCAAAATGCAGAGGCAAGATGCTTGGGTCATCACAAGGTACAATGGTCCACACACATGTTTGCAAAACTCTATCGAACAAGACCACCGACTACTGGACTCCGATGTAATTTGTCAATATGTGAAGGTTTTGGTTGAACAAAATCCAAGGATCCCTTGCTCGGTGTTAGCTGCATCTATTCGAGACCAGTTCGGATACAATGTAAAATACAAACCCGTGTGGCATGCGAATGAGAAGGCAAGGAGGTTGATATATGGCGATTGGGATACATCATACAATGAGTTACCTGATTTGTTACGAGCTATGAAACAATTCATACCTGGAACCATCGTGAAGTCTCAGACCATGCCTGCATACGACCGAGAAGATCAACTTGTTCAAGGGAAGAGAATATTCCATAGACTCTTTTGGGCATTCAAGTCTTGCATAGAAGGTTTTCCATTTTGCAAACGTATGGTCCAAATAGATGGTACGTGGTTATACGGTCAATACAGACATATATTATTGATAGCAGTTGCGCAGGATGGTCAACGAAATATATTCCCAATTGCATTCGCCATCGTTGAAGGAGAGACAACAGAGGCTTGGGACTTCTTTCTCAATAATCTACGTAAGTATGTCGTCCGAGAAGAAGGAGTTTCCTTGATATCCGATCGAGGAACTGGCCTTTTGGCAGCAATTGAACGACCGGGAAGTCGTTGGACACCTCCGCACGCATATCCCGCATATTGTATCCGTCATATTGGTAAGAATTGTATTGAGAAGTTTCATAACGGCCGTATTCGTAGGGAGATAGTCAGCATGGGTAAGTTTTATTTTCAGCATTTGTACTCATTTATGTGTTTGTTTATAAATTGACTTTAACACAATATCTATTTTGAAACAGGATATGAACTACGCCAACCAAATTTTGACAAGAGATTGGAGGATTTGAAGGCCATAGATGAGCGCGTTTGGAAATGGGCGTCGAAAATCGAGCGGGAGAAGTGGTCGCAAGCATACGATTGTGGTCGGAGATACGGACACATGACTACAAACCTTGCTGAGGCCATTAATTCAGTACTAAAAGGTACACGACATCTCCCAATAGCGAGTGTGGTGAAAGAGACATACTTTAGGTTGGCTAAAGTTTGGTCTGATAAAGGGAAAGAGATCGAGTGTCTGATAAATCGAGGTAAAATCTGGGCTCCGGCGGTGGTAGAAGCAATGAAAGCAAATGAGCGTATGGCAACCTCAATGTTTGTTCATGACTTCGATCGAATTGGACATACTTTTGTTGTCATCGCATGCATACGTCGCAACGAAGGAGCAGATCGAGAATCATTTACTGTTAATTTACGACAAAGATGGTGTGATTGTAGCCGCTTTCAGGCGTGGAGATATCCGTGTGCTCATGCAGTCGCTGCATGTATGCATACTGGAATCAATTCATACACTTATGTTGATGAGTGCTTTCACCTACAGAGGATATTAAATATATACAACCATGAGTTCAGACCGATCCCAAATGAATCTTATTGGGACAATCGAGATCATGATGAATGGTTGCCAAATCCACTACTTCGTAGAAGTCCAACGGGTCGACCGGAATCTACTCGTATTCATACCAGTATGGATATACATATTAGAGAGAAAGGTCAACCGAAGAGGTGTGGATTATGTAGAGGTGAAGGGCATTCAAAAAGAAATTGTCCAAACCTTCCACAGTATAGACCTCAGCAATAATCTTATTATTTTATAAATTTTTATATTATATGCGATTCAATTACTCGAGTACATATTTAATAATAATTATTTAAATTTAATTATTTAACTTTAATGATTTAATAATAATTATTTAACTTTAATGATTTAATAATAATTACTTTAATGATTTAACTTTAATGATTTAATAATAATTACTTTAATGATTTAATTTTAATGATTTAATGATTTAACTTTAATGATTTAATAATAATTACTTTAATGATTTAATGATTTAATGATTTAATAATAATTACTTTAATGATTTAACTTTAATGATTTAATAATAATTATTTAACTTTAATGATTTAATAATAATTACTTTAATGATATAACTTTAATGATTTAATAATAATTACTTTAATGAT